ATGCTTCGAGGAGGCTACAGGGCGTTACCCTTGGCTCCTCGTGCAGCCTGTATTTTTCCTCCTGGGGCAGGGTTACGAGGAACACTCCCGAACTTACCCCCTTCCCTCCTAGCCTAACATTTATCTCCCCTTCCTCAAAGGAGATGGTGGCCTTCAGTTTCGTAAGGTCTCGGCCGAGGAGCGGATAAGGGCAGTCGGGCATCACGAGGAAAGAGTGGGTGACTTGGCCAGTTCCCAGGTTGGTGATTCGCCCCTTAGTCCAAGGGTAGGACTGGACCTTTCCGGTAGCCCCTTGGATGGGCACACGTTCTTTGGAGACTGGTCCAACCGGTTCCTTAAGGATTGAGGTCGCGCCGGTGTCCACTAGGAAGTGTACTGGTTGCCCCCCGACGGCCAACATTACCCAGGGCTCTTGGGGGGCCATAGAGCCCTGACCCCCCTAATCCACCTCCTCCACCAGCACGGGCAGTGGCTTCTTCCCGGCCCTCTTTGGACACTCATTCTTACAGTGTCCATGCCCTTTACAGAATGCACATTGATCCTTTCCCAGTCTTTCCCGAGGTGGGCCTCTCCCCTTTCCCCAAGGGCCTCGCTTTCTGCCCTTTCCCTCGCTCATGGCGACCAGGATTTTAGCCATTTTGGTGTTAAGATCAGCCGTTGGGTCCCCTCGGTTATTGAAGACCTTCTGGGCCACCTCCACCAGTTCTGAGATTGACTTCCCCTCAAAGCCTTCTAACTCCTGCAACTTTTTTCTAATGTCTGGGGCCGACTGGGACACGAACGCTACGTTAATGGCCCGCCTATTCTCTGGAGCAGGGGTCCTCAAACTTTTTAAACAGGGGGCCAGTTTACTGTCCCTCAGACCGTTGGAGGGCTGGACTATAGTTTAAAAAAAAAACTAGTCGGCTGCTAAGCAACAGGCAGCGGTGGCTAAAACACCCAGCGGGCCGGATAAATGTTTTCGGCGGGCCGCATGTGGCCCGCGGGACGTAGTTTGAGGAACCCTGCTCTGGAGCATCGGGGTCTATGGGTGTATAGACCCGATATGCCTCGCACAGCCTCTCCAGGAACGCAGCTGGGCTCTCGTTCGGCCCTTGGGTGGGCTTAGTCACCGCCGAGAGGTTAGTGGGCTTCTGAGCCGCTGCCCGGATGCCCCGCGATAGAGTCTGGTGGTACCGGTCCAAGGCCTCCCTCCCTCTCTGACCATTCACTCCCCAATCTGGTCTGGAGCTGGGGAATAGCGCCTGGATCCGCCTTGCATCCCCAGAGGGCTGCCCATCTGGCCCGAGGACCAATTTCCTTCCCTCCGCCTTCATCCTCTCTCTCCCCTCTGAGGTGAAGAGGGTCTGCAGTAACTGCTGGCAGTCATCCCACGTGGGTTGGTGGGTAAAAAAGACTGACTCCAGCAGAGAGATCAGACCCTGAGGGTTCTCAGAAAAAGAGGGATTTTTATTCTTCCAATTATACAAATCACTAGTTGAGAAAGGGACGTAAATCATGAAAAAGTGGCCATCCGGACCCAGGTCCGGGGCCCAGCCTGCCTCAAGGGCAGGAGAGGAGCTGGGGCTGCCGGCCCAACCCCCGCCTCCCCCCCAAGCTCCATATTCCGTTCCCTGTCTAGTATGGGATGGACTGAAGGGGTTGGAGGACGACAAAGCCCCTCCCGTCGGTGGGTCCGGAGGGAAGACAATTGCCGTCGGGGGAGGCAGGGGCTCCGGGTCAAGAGCTGGTGGCGTGGCCTGGGCCTGAGGCCAGGGCTCACCCAGATCCGGTGCTAGGGGAGCATAGCGGGGCGGTCGGCTAATGGATTTTTTCTGCTCTCCCTGAAGGACCGGGAGAGCCTTTCCCTTCTGGGGCCCAGCCAAAAGAATTGTCTGTCTCTGTCCTGATTTTCCCCTCGGGAGGCATGTCCTCATCCACCGGGATCTATCCGACAATACATCAACCCAAACCCGAATATAAGGAATTTGATCAGGATGCCCTGGGCGACCGCATAGACATGATGGACCCGGTAGGCAGTGGTCAAATCAAAAGACCCTGCATCCAGCCACCGCACCTGGAAAGTGGGCCACTCCCATTCACAGAATCGCTGTAAATCAAAAGCATTAACATCATACCCCTAGTCTCCAGCTCTCTTCTTCTTTTTTTTTTTTTTTAAATAAATTTTATTGATTTTTTACAGAGAGGAAAGGAGAGAGATAGTTAGAAACATTGATGAGAGAGAAACATCGATCAGCCGCCTCCTGCACATCTCCCACTGGGGATGTGCCCGCAACCCAGGTACATGCCCTTGACCGGAATCAAACCTAGGGCCCTTCAGTCCGCAGGCCGACGCTCTATCCACTGAGCCAAACTGGTTTCGGCCCCAGCTCTCTTCTTGAAGTCCTGAAAATTCTTAAGAAAACATTGTAGTGGGGAGCACACAGAAGCAGACGACGCCTGCCCCATTTTGACAAACACCAAAACAAAAAAAGACCAGACAGACAAATCCCGTGCAACCGAAAGTCACACTTGCCAGATGCCATGGCCACCTTCGTGGCCACCGGCTGGAGTTGGGAGGTAGTGCTGCGTCCAGCCCTCCACTTGACTCCCCACTGTGAGATCTCAACCGAGGAGGCACCTCCAGTCCTTACCTCCTGCAGGATTTTTTAGTAAGTCCTCGCGGCTTGCCCGGTGATGGATGGGGGAGAGCCTCCTGCCCTGGATAGGGGGTCCCTCTCACCCCTGCTGGGTATCTCACTGCGGCCTCCAAATGTCGTGGACCAGCATTTGAGAGAATAAGACCACCGACTCCAATTAGGTCTTAAGCAGCAAGCGAGGATTTATTGAGCTGGCCAGAGACTGCCACAGGCGTCTCCACACAGGGAGCTCTCCTCCTGCAGCAGCCCCAACCTTGGTGCTAGGCAAGCTTTTATTCACAGAAACCACCAAGGTCCTTGATTACAGTTGCAAGGGTCTAATCAGGGCCTTGACACCCAGATTTCAGGAAGTTGGAAACTTGGTGTTATGTCTGGTTACCCATTCTTGACCACATCCTGGATCTCTTGTCAGTTTACAGAGAACTCTAATTGGGGCACAGCTGGGGAACACATTTGAAAATTTTATACTGATATTCAATTCATCACACTGCAGACTGAAGGGTCCCAGATTGAGGCAAAGGGCATGTAGCTGCTGGCACATCCCCAGTAGGGGGGGTGCAGGAGGCAGCTGATTGATGTTTTTCTCTCATCCATGGTTCTCTCTATCCCTCTCCCTTCCTCTCTGTAAAAAATCAACAAAATATATATATATTTTTTATATATATATTTTTTATTGATTTTTTACAGAGAGGAAGGGAGAGAGATAGAGAGTTAGAAACATCGATGAGAGAGAAACATCGATCAGCTGCCTCCTGCACATTTCCCACTGGGGAAGTGCCCGCAACCCAGGTACATGCCCTTGACCGGAATCGAACCTGGGACCTTTCAGTCCGCAGGCTGACGCTCTATCCACTGAGCCAAACCGGTTTCGGCAAAATATTTTTTAAAAAATAAATAAATAACGATATGACCTGTTTAGAAACCTATAATTTAGAGTAAGCCAGACCAGAGGATTTTTTTTAACCTATACAAGTATTTAATCGCTTTAGGACAATAAAATATCACCTCTTAGTATTGGCAGCTGAAGCCAGAAAACACACCATATATAATAAACAGATAAACACATAAAGACAATCCATCCTACAAAGATGGTGAAAGACTTGTACTCTGAAAATGACACAGCAATGCTAAAGAAAGCAGATACAAATAAACTGAAAGACATTCCTTAATATGTCCAAGTGGCTACACAATAAATAGATTACCTACGGAAATTCCCAGTCAATTTTGGCTGTAATTTTGGCAAAAGAGATTCGGGAGAGGCTAAATACTTCAAATGTAAGAAAGTGGGATATTCACTTTTTTACACTGGAAAACATTTTACAAAGCAAGAGTAATCAAGTGGGTGTGATCCTGGATTAACACAGATCCATACACCAATGGAACGGAGGGGAATGCCCCGACATAAACCCTGATGAAGCCTCACCTGCATCAAACAAGAGCCTTCTCTGTGGGAGAGGATACAATCCACAGTGGCAAAGGCAACCTCCAGCAATGATGTTAAAAGTGATCTCCAAATTTCAGACATTCCTGTGGATTTCCTCCTTAAAACTGACAATGGAATGAAATACTCCCCGGCAGTGATGTCTGCATGTCCACATTCCTCTCCATTCCCAATAGTGCATAAATTCCTTGGAGATTTGTAAACTGTATGTTTTAAACAAAAGTCCTTCCTCCTATAAGAAAAACGTAGAATTTCTGCCCAATTACAAAGCCTGATAAGACTGGGGCTGTAGGTCCAACTGTACGATTTCCCACATTCTTCAGTTTTAAGGTTTCCCTCAAGAATAAATTCTAATGTGAGCAACAAGCTACAGATGCCGATTAAACCCTTTAGGACCATGTTTCCATTTGTATTGCTTCTCTCCAGTATGAATTCTGATGTCAGGTAAGTTTTTCATACTGAGCAAGCTTTGTCACATTCTTTTTATCTGCTGGGCTTCGATCCAGTAATAATTATCACAGGTTCTATGACATATAAATGAGGATATACACTTGGAGATATCCCTCAGAATTTGTAAGACCTTAGCATTCTCAATGATAAAGCACGGTTAAATCTTTGGATGATAACTTTATATTTTTGCTGTTTCTCTTTAGAATGCTTCGTAAAATGTTAAGTTTGAACACAGGTTAAAGGCTTTCTCACATTTTCTAAAGTTTTACGCTTACCTCTACTACAGTGGTTCTCAACCTTCCTAGTGCCACAACCCTTTAATACAGTTCCTCATGTTATGGTGACTCCCAACCATTATTTTTGTTGCTACTTCATAACTGTAATTTTGCTGTTAGGAATCATAATGTAAATATCTGATAATGCAGGATGTATTTTCAATGTTACAAATTGAACATAATTAAAGCGTAGTGATTATGCAAAAAGACAGTATGTAATTATATATGTGTTTTCCGATGGTCTTAGGCAACCCCTGTGAAAGGGTTGTTAGACCCCGAAAGGGGTCGACACACAGGTTGAGAACCGCTGCTCTACTACGAAATCTCTAATGTTCAGCAAATTTTGAGCTGTGAGTAGAGGCTCCAGCCATTCTCTGCATTTGTACAGTCTCTGTTAGGAAGTCTCTAAGGTACAGTCATATCTGAATGGCTTTTAAAAGCATTTTTACATTTTTCACATTCATAAGGCTTCTTTCCAGCATGAATTCTGTGATATTCAGTAAGTTCTCACTGCTCCTCAAGGACTTATGACACTACACACATCTGTAAGACTTCACTCCAGTATGTATTCTCTGATGCTTAGTAAGTGCTGAGGAGCTGACAAAGGATTTGCCACATTCTGTACATTCATAAGGCTTCTCTCCAGTATGAACTCTCTGATGACAACTAAGGGATGAGGATGTGGTAAAGTCTTTGCCACATTCTTTACATTTATAACGCTTCTCTCCCGTGTGAATGCCCTGATGTGAAGTAAGGTATGAGGACTTGCTAAAGGCTTTGCCACATTCTCTACATTTATATGGCTTCTCTCCCGTGTGAATGCTTTGATGTCTATTAAGACAGGAGGATTTGATAAAGGCTTTGCCACATACTCTACATATATAAGGCTTCACTCCAGTATGAACTCTCCGATGACAAGCAAGATATGACGATGCGGTAAAGGCTTTGCCACATTCTGTACATTTATAAGGCTTCTCTCCAGTATGAACTCTCTGATGACAAGTAAGGGATGAGGATGTGATAAAGGCTTTGCCACATTCTTTACATTTATAAGGTTTCTCTCCCATGTGAACGCTCTGATGTGAAGCAAGGGATGAGGACTTGTTAAAGGCTTTGCCACATTCTTTACATTTATAAGGCTTCTCTCCCGTGTGAACGCTCTGATGTGAAGTAAGGGATGAGGACTTGGTAAAGGCTTTGCCACATTCTCTACATTTATAAGGCTTCTCTCCCGTGTGAACGCTCTGATGTGAAGTAAGGGATGAGGACTTGGTAAAGGCTTTGCCACATTCTCTACATTTATAAGGCTTCTCTCCCGTGTGAACGCTCTGATGTGAAGTAAGGGATGAGGAACTGGTAAAGCCTTTGCCACAGTCTCTACATTTATAAGGTTTCTCTCCTGTATGAACTCTTTCATGTCTATAAAGAGAGGAGGAATGACTAAAGGCTTTGCCACATTCTCTACATTTATAAGGTTTCCCTCCTTTATGAACTCTCTCATGTTTATAAAGAGAGGAGGAATCGCTAAGGACTTTGCCACATTCTCTACATTTATAAGGATTCTCTGTAGTATGAACTCTCTCATGTCTACAAAGAGAGGAGGACTGAGTAAAGGCTTTGCCACATTCTCTACATTTATAAGATTTCTCTCCTGTATGAACCCTCTTATGTCTACAAATAGAGGAGGAACTGCTAAAGGCTTTGCCACATTCTCTACATTTATAAGGTTTCTCTCTTGTATGAACTCTCTGATGTGTATTAAGGGAGGAGGAAAGGCTAAAGGCTTTGCCACATTCTCTACATTGATAAGGTTTCTCTGCAGTATGACCTCTCTGATGCCTTGTAAGTTCTGAGAACCATCTAAAGGCTTTGCCACATTCTCCACATTTATGGGGCTTCTCTCCAGGATGAACTCTCTGATGCATAGTAAGGTGTGAGAACTCTCTACAGGCTTTCCCACATTCTCTACTTTTGTAAAGCTTCTCTCCATTATGAACTTTCTGATGCCAATTCTGGTTTGAGCCATGAAGGAATACTTTACCAAAGTCTCTACATTTATAAGGCCTATCTTCAGTATGAACACTTTGATGATAAGTAAGACTTGCATAGCTGATAGAGGATGTGCCACATTCTCTGTATTTATAAGGTTTCTCTCTAGTGTGAATTCTCTGGTGAATACTAAGAGTTGAGGGCCAGCTAAAGGCTTTGTCACATTCTAAATATTTATAAAACTTTTCATCCATGTGATTTCTATGATGTGGAGTATGTCCTGAGGACTGACTAAAGCCTTTTCCATTTTCCCTGAGTTTATAACATGTTGCAATAGTATGAATTCTTCCCTTATGTACGACAAGAGATGAATGACATTTAAAGGCTTTGCCACATACTTTACATTTGTAAGGCTTCAGTCCAGTATGAATTTTCTGATTTAGCATACAAACTGAAGGCCAATTAGATGTTTTACCAGAATCTTTACATTTGTTAGATTTTTTTCCACTATGGATATTTTTCACTTTATTTGTCTTGAATATTTGACTTGAGATTATACCACGAGGATTCCATTTGTAAGCTTTCTCCCCAGGATGAACATTCTCTTGTTCAGTGTAATTTGGAGAATGCTGAAAAGACATGACACATTGAATTCCTTTGTGTGTCTTCTCCACAATAGGAATAACCTCACATATGTTGTGACTGCACCATGGGTCACAGAATCTTCCACTTTTATAATGCTGCTTTGCAAACTCGCTTCTCCGATGACTACAATATGACTCTTGCTTAAATTTTTTCCAATTTTCATTCCACTGATAACTTCTGTCTCCATTATGTGTACTCTGGCAGTAATGGGAGACGGAAAAACCTTTACTGACAGTTATAATTTCATTACACTTGTACACTTGTTCCATAAAAACCATTTTGTGATACTCATTAAACCAAGATGGTTTTACACAAAAGCTCTCCTAAGTTTTTAAAATTATAGACAAAATTAAATACAAAACAATAATTGTCAGAGGGAGAATGAATCCTTCTTTAAAGGACTGCCAGCCCTAACCTGTTTGGCTCAGTGGTTAGAGTGTTGGCCTGCAGACTGAAGGGTCCCAGGTTCGATTCCGGTCAAGGCCATGTATCTTGGTTCCGGGCACAACCTCAGTAGGGGGTGAGCAGGAAGCAGCTGACGAGTGTTAACCTCTCATCAATGTTTGTAACTTTCTATCCCTCTCCCTTCCTCTCTGTAAAAAAAACAATTACAATATATAAGAACAACTAAAAATAGATTGCCAAATTGCTGAGCCAGCAAGATTTGATGGTTGAGTCTCAAAGTTTGAGCTAGAACGTCGGTTCCATTACCCATCAGGGCACAAGCCTCAATTTCAGAATCATTCCCCAGTATGAGGAATGTAGGAGGCAGCCAGTCAATGATTCTCTCTCATCAAGGATATTTGCCTATCCCTCTTAATCTCTGTGCCTCTCTGAAACAAAAAAAAAATATTTTGAATAAAAATAATAAGGAAGGCACTAGCTGGTTTGGCTCAGTAAATATAGCTTTGGCAAGCAGACTTAAGGGACCTAGGTTTGATTCTAGTCAAGGGCACATGCTCAGGTTGTGGGCGCCATCCTCAGTAGGGGGCATGTAGGAGGCATCCAATCAATGATTCCCTCTCATCATTGATGTTTCCATCTCTCCCCCTTCCTCTCTGAATTCAATAAAAATATATTTAAAAGTGATAACAATCCTATATAATAAAAGCCTAATATGCTAAGTGTCTGGTCCTCTGGTCACCCATCCAACCAAGCAAAGAATAATATACTAATGATATGCTAAGTCCGGTCAACTGCTCACTAAGACAAGCACTGACCTCCAGGGGGCAGAAGCTTCGACCAGTAGGTTAGTTTGCTGCTGGCGTCAGCTAGATCGGGACTAAACAAGATGGGCTGGACACACCCTGTTGCTTCCCATTGTCCCTCTCTGGCTGGCCAACTTCTCGCGTCCCTCACCAGCCCCAATCGTGCATCGGTGGGGTCCCTTGGCCTGAACTGCACCCTCTCCCAATACAGGACCCCTCAGGGGATGTCGGAGAGCCAGTTCCAGCAAAATTCTGCATGCCAGGCTGAGGGACTCCACTGGTGCACAAAATTGTGCACTGGGCCTCTAGTTATTATAATAATAATAATAATAATAATAATAATGATTGCCCAATTGCGCGTATATAAATTTTATATGCATATTGTAAATTGCTACATTTGAGAAATTCTTGCATGAAAGTTTAATCCTGCCCTACATTTTACAAAATTCAAATGATTATTTACACTACACAATATGTGAACTCCTACTTTATCCAGATTTCCTTTCCAAGAATGCATAACATTAAAAGTTGTTTTCAACCTTCACATGCAGAAACACACTGATCTGCCAGTGTAACTCACTTTAAAGAGGAAGGTTTCCCAAATGGATAATACACTTCACCTCTTTAGGTAACAACAATTTTTTTTTTTAATATATTTTATTGATTTTTACAGAGAGGAAGGGAGAGAGATAGAGTTAGAAACATCGATGAGAGAGAAACATCGATCAGCTGCCTCCTGCACATCTCCTATTGGGGATGTGCCCGCAACCCAGGTACATGCCCTTGACCGGAATCGAACCTGGGACCCTTCAGTCCACAGACCGACGCTCTATCCACTGAGCCAAACCGGTTTCGGCTAGGTAACAACAATTTTATTATGAGAACGGTTCCAGATTAGTTCTGTTTATACTAATAACCTCTGTTCTCATCACACTCTTCCTCAAATACTGAGACTTTCATTAAGTGTACATTATCAAAGTGACACATTTTATATCTTACCAGTATCATTTCAGAGAATAAATCTTGTATTCTAGTCTTGGGCATAAAGGCCTGGGCATCTTCAGATGACATAGCTGAAAGAAAACAAATGTTCAGTTTTCACAATCAGGTGAGTGCACTTTGAAGTAACCAGCAACTATAAGCCAAATGACATCTTTGAGTACTCCAAGAGGTACTGAAGGGTTCAAGGAAAGCTCTAGATAGGTGCAATGAGGAAAACTCACCTCAAAGAGGGACAAAGAAGAGAAACAAAGATGGTGGCATAGGTAAACACCGGAAATTGTTACCTCGCACAACCACTTCAAAAATACAACTAAAAGACAATATGGACATCATCCAGAACCACAGGAAGGCTGGCTGAGTGGAAATTCTACAACTAGAAGGAAAGAGAAAAGCACACTGATACTAAGAGGAGGTGCGGAAGTAAAGTGCAGAGGTACAGAAGCGCGCGGAAAGGGCTGGCAACTGAGGACACGGTTGTTTTTTTCAATCGGGAGGGAGTCTCAAGCTCCCATCTGCTCTGAACTCCATTTCTGGGCAAGTCTCTGGGGACCCAGAATCATACAGGGAGAAACTGGACTGTCTGGCATCGGTCAAAACTCGAGGCCTGCTTTCTCTCAGAGGTACTTGCAGTGATTACCGGGACACTGAGAAGCGGGGCCTCTTAGGATAGGACTGAGGAGCAGCCATAGCTACTTCCTTCGCCCTGGTGATCCCCTGGGACCCCGCCCCACCCAAACTGTGCAGAGAGGCTTTTGCATATGAAAGGCCTGGCCCTTGGCAATCTGAAAATTACCTAAGGAACTTCAGCTAGGTCAGAGAGACCCAGAACTTCCAAAAGAAGGCCCAAGGCCCCACAGCAGCTTACATTGCTTCACAGCTGGGCCTCGTCTGGGAACCTCAAAACCCCAAACAAAGAAGAGGAATCTGCAGATCTCTTCATGGCTCTTGCTGGGTAGCCTCAGGCAGAGGATAAATTAGCACCTCCTTAGACATCCAAGAGCCAGTGTACCCAGTGGTCAGAGTAGGGCCATCCAGATTACAACTCCTCAGATTCATAAGGGATACACTCAGGGGGCAGACTCAGTGAGAACCAAAGATCCACTGAAGCAAGTCCTGCCCCAGAAGGGTGTCTCCGGCACAGAAGATCTCCCACTGCAGACACAGCTGTTTCTCACAGACAATTGGCCTGGAGGTCAATTCCTCCCAGTGATACCTACAACAATCAAGGCTTAACTACAACAAGACTGTGCACAAAGCCCACAAAGGGGTGCACCAAGAGTGTCCACCTCAGGTAACTGGGGAGGCTGAGCCACTGGGCCCTAGAGGACACCTAACACAGAAAGCCACTCTATCAACACTGGGAAGCATAAAAAATTCAGAGACAAAGAAACAAGTCACAAATGACAGAAATGGAGGAAAGCAAACTACTGAATATAGAGTTCAAAACCACACTTTTAAGGTTTTTCAAGAATTTTCTAGAAAATGCCGATAAATTTAGTGAGACCCTCAAGAAAACTAGTGAGACCCTCAAGGTTATGAAAAAGGACCAACTATGCTGAAACCGGTTTGGCTCAGTGGATAGAGCGTCGGCCTGCAGACTGAAAGGTCCCAGGTTCGATTCCGGTCAAGGGCATGTACCTGGGTTGCGGGCATATCCCCAGTGGGAGATGTGCAGGAGGCAGCTGATCGATGTTTCTAACTCTCTATCTTTCTCCCTTCCTCTCTAAAAAATCAATAAAATATATTAAAAAAAAAAAAAAAAAAAAGAAAAAGGACCAACTAGCAATTAAGGATACACTGACTAAAAAAACCAATGTTATACAGAGTTCCAACAGCAGACTAGAGGATCACAAGAAATAAGTCAAGGATATGAAATACGATGAAGAAAAAAATAGCCAACCAAAAAAAACAAAAAGAAAAAAGAATACAAAAATATGAAGATAGTGTAAAGGAGCCTCTGGGACAACTTCAAGTGTACCAACATCCGTATTATGGGGGTGCCAGAGGAAAAGAGAGAGCAAAATATTGAAAACCTATTTGAAGAAATAATGACAGAAAACTTCCCCTACCTGGTGAAAGAAATAGACTTACAAGTCCAGGAAGCGCAGAGAACCCCAAACAAAAGGAATCCAAAGAGGACCACACCAACACACATCATTAAAATGCCAAGAGCAAAAGGCAAAGAGAGAATCTTAAAAGCAGAAAGAGAAATACAGTCAGTTACCTACAATGGAGTACCCACACGACCGTCAGCTGATTTCTCAACAGAAACCATGCAGGCCAGAAGGGAGGGGCAAGAAATATTCAGTGATGAATACCAAGAACCTACAACCAAGATGACTTTACCCAGCAAAGTTATCATTCAGAATTCAAGGTCAGATAAAGAGCTTTACAGATAAGAAAAAGCTAAAGGAGTTCATCACCACCAAACCAGTATTATATGAAATGCTGAAAGGTATCCTTTAAGAAGAGGAAGAAGAAAAAGGTAAAGATACAAATTATGAACAACAAATACACATCTATCAACAAGTGAATCTAAAAATCAAATGAATAAATAATTTGATGAACAGAATAAACTGGTGAATATAATAGAATCAGGGGCATGGAAAGGAGTGGACTGAATATTCTTGGTGGGAAAACAGGTGTGGGGTGTGTGGGAAGAGACTGGATAAAAATCGTACATTTATGGATGAGGACAGTGGAGGGGGTAAGGGCAGAAGGTGGGGTGGGAACCGGGTGGAGGAGAGCTACGGGAGGGAAAAAGAGGAACAACTGTAATAATCTGTATAATAAAGATTTAATTTTTTTAAAAAAAGGATATATGCATCCCTATGTTCATAGCAGCACAATTTACAATAGGTAAGATTTACAATCAGCCTAAATGCCCATCAGCAGATGAATGGATTAAAAAACTTTGGCACCTCTACACAATGGAATACTATGCTGCTGTAAAAGGGAAAGAACTCCTACCATTTGCAACAGCATGGATGGAGCTGGAGAGCATTATGCTAAGTGAAATAAGTCAGACAGAGAAAGATAAATATCACATACTCTCACTCATTTGTGGATTATAATGAACAGCATAAACCAATGAAGAAAAACAGATGTAGAGACAGAGAAGCATCGATCAGATGCTCAAAACCCAGAGGGAAGGTAGGGGAGGGTGGGGGTGAGGAGGAGAGATCAACCAAAGGACTTGTATGCATGCATATAAGCACAAGTGATGGATGTGGACAACAGGGGGTGAGGATGAGGGCAGGATTGGGGGGATGAGAGGACACTGGGCGGATAAGGACACGTTTGTAATATCTTAATCAACAAAGGGGGAAAAAAAGAAAAAAAGATAGATAAGAATTCCTGACATTTATTTGTGGTAAATAAATAATAAAAAACAGAAAGCACATATGTACATACATCAAAATGATGGAACTTTTTTTAAAGGAAACAAAGCCCTGAGGGTGGAGAAGGAACTTGGGAAGGGAGTCATCCTCACCCACGGAGACTAGGTTGCTGTAGTTCTCCAACATCACATCCATGTACAATTTTCGCTGAGCTGGGTCCAGGCATTCCCACTCCTCCTGAGAGAACTCTATGGCTACATCCATGAAGGACAAGGGTTCCTGAAAGAAAAGACTCAGTTACTAACAGCTCACAAGAAGAGTTCATAATGTCACCCAAAATGAAAACAGTGTTAGGAGGTTTGACCTAGGGAGTATCCTGAACTATACAGTAAGATCACTTTGCCCCAGTAACATTCTCTTATGTGTTTTCTAGCACTGACACATGACGATGACACATGTCCACAAATCCACAGTACAGATTTTCCTTTACAGGGAAATAAACTTTAAAATTAAAGCATGGACACAGGCTTATGGATATCTGAAGGCTGCATTTACATCGTTCAGGGTCAGGGATGTATATTTCTCAGCGGGAAATGTCACACTGGTTGGAAGTATACGGAGTTCTTCTCAAGTGGGAAGCACACCACAGGAAATGAACTTCTGTAAAAATACAAACTTTAGCCGAACCGGTTTGGCTCGTGGATAGAGCGTCGGCCTGCGGATTCAAGGGTCCCGGGTTCGATTCCGGTCAAGGGCATGTACCTTGGTTGCAGGCACGTCCCCACTGTGGGGCATGCAGGAGGCAGCTGATCGATCTCTCTCATCGATGTTTCTGACTTTCTATCCCTCTCCCTTCTTCTCTGTAAAAAATCAATAAAATATATTTAAAAAAAAAAAAAATACAAACTTTAATCCAGGTTTTGAGATGGGCCCCGTGTTTCCACATGTGTAACCAGCTCACTTTTTACTTGTGATGCTAATGTTTCCACATCATGTGCCACACTTCTGAATACACAGAAAAAGAAAACACAAGGAAAAATTCATACAGAACTTTGAACTAAAAGGGTTTGTTAATGGAGTTAAGTTTCATGGAATAGGATTCATAGGAACCTCAAAGCTATTTGGAAATTTACTGAGAAATCTTAGAACAAGATTATTCTGCCTAGTCCAGTTGGTGTGGCTCAGTGTTGCATGCTGACCCATGCACCAAGTGTTCACTCACTCTATTCCAGTCTAGACACACGACAGTCACAATCCTCAGTGTGGGGTGTAAAGGAGGCAGCTGGTCAATGATTCTCTCTCATCATTGATGTTCCTATCTATCTCTACCTCTCACTCCCTGAAATCCATAAAAATATACTGGCACATGGAAAATAAAAACATAAAGAAAAAATAGGTAAAATAACGTTAACAGTTTAGGTACAGAGACACACATTTTACAACTATGAAATCAAGATGGTTTACTGACTGCATAAATCTCATGAATCTATCTGTATATGATCCCCTTTGTGATTTATAAACACAACTAGAAGCCCGGTGCACAAAATTCGTGCACAGGGAGGTGTGGTGCACCTCAGCCCAGCCTGCACCCTCTCCAATCTGGGACACCTTGGGGGATGTCTGACTGCTGGTGTAGGCCCCATCCCTGTGGGCCTACACTGGCAGTCGGACATCCTCTCACAATCCTGGACTGCTGGTTGCAACCGCTCGCCTACATGCCTGCCTGCCTGCCTGATTTCCCCTAACCGCTTCTGCCTGCCAGTTGGATCACCCCCTAACCACACCTCTGATAGATGCCTAACTGCTCCCCTGCTGGCCCGGTCCCCCCCAACTGCCCTCCCTGCAGGCCTGGTCGCCACCAACCACCCTCCCCTGGTGGCGTGTTTGCCTCTAATTGCCCTCCCCTGCTGGCCATCTTGTGGCTGTGGGCACCACCATCTTTGAGGGCGTAGCAATCAATTAGCATATTCCCTCCTTATTGGCTGTGGGCGCCGCCAGCTTTGAGGGAAGGGTAGTCAATTAGCATATTCCCTCCTTATTGGTTTTGGGTCCCACCATCTTTGAGGGCAGGGCAGTCAATTAGCATATTCGCTCCTTATTGGCTGTGGATGCTGCCATTTTGAGGGTGGGGAAGTCAATTAGCATATTCCCTACATATTGACTGTGGTTGCTGCCATCTTTGCAATAACATCAGGTTCAATTAGCATATTCCCTCTTTCTTAGATAGGGTAAGAAAAAAAGATAAAAATAGAAAACAAGGTAGACTATTGTTTTCCTTTGTGTGGTTGTAAATCCTCCCCTGAGAAGATATTTTCCATTGACTTCAAGAGTAGAAGGCAGGGAGGTAGGAGCAGAAAAAGGAGAGGAAGAGAGGGGGAAAGGGGGACAGGGGGGAAAGTCAGGAAGAGGGAGGTGAAGGGAGAAAGAGAGGAGGAGAGGGAGTGGGAGAGGGAGAGGGAGAAAAATGTGAAAGAGACAGAGAAACATGGATTGGCTGCCTATTTACCCTGAACCAAGTATCAAATCCTCAACCACTGATCCACACCAACCTGGGGAACTAATTTTTCTTATTAGTACATTTCTTTCAAAATTTTTATGCAACATTAGTGGAGAGTTATGTTGTAGAAATTTAATGAAACTGAACATACATTAGAAATGTCATTCTTGGAAACTTCCTAGAAAATACAAAAAATGATACTGTACGGAATGTGTCTCATGTGAGTAAAGAGTATAAGGAAAATGTAAAGAATCAAGTCATGATTGTTTAAAGCTCCCATGAAAAAGCCAATGATCTGTAGGAAATAAAAGTAAGTCCATCATTTTCCAAAGCATTCTAACAAGAAGGTCATTTCCAGATGTGAAGTGATGGTCTTCGCACGACTTTCATTAAACCCCTACTACACCCTTGTTCCTGAGAAAGGGAGACTATTAACTAACTCTACAGTGAGGGGAGCACCTCTGCCACATGATCATCAGGTGGACTGAGACAAAGGGCATCAGGTGGCTGAGGCACACGGAAGGTCAGGTCACCACTGCTGTGACATTACTGCCAAAAATACCTCAATAAATATGTGGAAATGATCACAAATAAACGTTAGTTTCTGCAAGTGCCAATCCACCTGTGCCTCTCATGCTCTGTAAGCTAACAGTGCATTTACCGACCAAGTCTCTTGTACTAATCTAATGAGCAAGTCTCTTCTATTTGCCCTTTTTTTCAGAACTTTCTGAGCTATTCTGAGCAGTCAGATGTGCAGCTTCTTACCCCTGATGTATAGCTGATGATGCAGCCACATGAAACTAAAACCTGCATTTCCCTTCTTCACTGATACCTCAGCCTCTAACAAGGGGGACATTTCCAGCCTCTGACCCCATCCCAATAGGGATGTTAGACACGGCAGCCTTCCAACTTTGATCTGTCACAAAAGGGACATTTTGAGTAGTTGAAAGTCACTGATTAAAGGTAGGAATGCTTCCTGACCTGGAGAGGGTGACAAAATGCATGCAGACAAGTTTCTGGCACAATGGAGGGGAGTAAAACTCGGACAACGTGGCTGAGATGTAGAGGGCTGACCTATGAACCAGGACGGCAGGCTTAGGTTCCTCGTCAGGGCACACCAGGCTTCAAACTCCATACCCAGTGCATGCAGGAGGCAGCTGCCCCATGATTCCCTAACCTAATTGATGTTTCTATCTCTCTCTCCATCTCCTTTCCTTTCTGAAAGCAATTAAAAATATATTTTAAAAAGACAGGCAAAAAAGAAAACACAAAAAAAGGGAAACATAGAAATTGCTGACATTGACTGTGATGAATAAAGTAATAAAATAAGGAAAGAAAACCAACCTGCAAAGACAAGAACATCAGAGTAGAGAAATAAATCACCAGATGTCAGAGGAAAAGGAAACATAGTCTGTGACCCAGGACACATCTTTTACCTGAGAAGCAGCCATTTGGTCCTGGTCCTGATCAGGGTGTGGGTTGTTTTCTCAGGTGACAATATGTTGAGGAGTCACAGAATGTGCCTTCAAAGATGTCAGCACAGCCCGTTAATCAGCTCAGCTCACACTCACAGTCAGGACCTGTAAATGAGGAAAAGGCCAACTCTCCTGTCCTTGGTCAAAGGAGAGACAGGAACACTGAGCCCCACATGGAGACCACACTGTGAGGTCTTCATGTGTCTCTCCTCCCGAAGACATCCACAAACTCCTACAGAAACGAGGTGAGCTGCTGTCCGGACACCCCAAACTGAACAGAGCACCCCCTTACCTCCCCCGAACAAAGCCTGTTCCCCACTCTCACAAAGGCATACAGCATCCTTCCTGCTATACCCTGTCCTCACCTTCCAATCACCTGGAGCAACTCAGTAACCAAGGATGCCCCACCCAGAGCAGCTGTACAACTCTATGGGGGAAGGTGCACCTGAGGGCATTTCTTTAAGCTCCTCAGAGGATCTGAGAAGACCCAGAGGATTTATCTAAGGATGCTTTTAAATAATAAATTGTCAGACAAAGAAAAAGTAAATCCACGGCGCGCGCGCGCGCGTGCGCATGCACATACACACACACACACCACACAGCAACAAAGCTAAGGCTTTGAACAGTCCTGAAAAAAGTATCAAATGGTGACAGACACAGGTCACTTCCTTGTTGCAATCGCAGGAAATGACAAGGGATCCATGACCTACAGACAAGTCTCTCCCCTCTGAGTGAAGAAGGTTTGCAATTGGAAGCAAATAATTGTAACATTCCCAAGCCTTACAAACTGGAGATTTAGAATTCTCATTCAACCCGTATAACTAATACAATTCAGCTGCTAAATTAAAAATATAAAGGCACACCTAGGCAGCATAACTCAGTGACTGAGCTTGGATGTGTGAACCAGGAGGTCATGGTTAGATTCCTAGTCAGGAAGTATGGCCAGGTTGCAGGTTTGATCCGCAGTGAAGGGGCATGCAGGAGGAAGGTGATAAATGACTGTCTTTCCTCATTGATGTTTCTAACTCTCTCTCCCTCTCCTTGACACCTGGAGATCAATAATAATATACACTGAGTGGCCAGATTATTATGACCACCTGACGTTTGTAAGCAAATTAGCCATACACTGTATCCTATGGGATATGGAAGCCGGAGGCCTGTTCCAACACCTTTGCTGTCTGCAGTTACTAAGATAAAACGTCTCCAGTTCACACAGGAACACAATGATTGGACAGTCAAGCATTGGGAAAAAGTCATGTGGTCTGATGAATCACGTTTCCAGTTGCATCATGCAGATGGCAGAGTGAGAATTTGGCGGAAACAGCATGAAAGCCTGCACCCCACATACATGAATACAACCCTTCAAGCTGGTGAGGGCAGTGTTATGGTTTGGGGAATGTTTTCCTGGAATGATTTGAGCTCTTTAGTTAGTGTGGAACAATGTCTGAATAGCACCACATACCTAAGTATTGTTGCAGATCAAGTTCACCCTATCATGTTGATGGCGTATCCCAATGGAGATGGCTTCTTCCAACAAGACAGTGCGCAATGCCATAGTGCTCCTATTGTGCAGGAGTGGTTTCAAGAACATGAGGGAGACTTTACCTTCCTTAGGTGGCCCCCACAATCACCAGATCTCAATCCAATTGAGCATTTGTGGGACAAACTGAAAAGAGCCATCAGGCAGCTGGTTCCACAACCATCAAATCTCACAAAACTGGGCAGTGCTATTCATCCGGCATGGTGTCAGATTCCTCGCATCACCTTTCAACATCTCGTGGAGTCAATGCCAAGAAGAATCGCCACAGTATTGAAGGCGAAATGTGGCCCAACAAAGTACTGATGGGGTGGTCATAATGATGAGGTCACTCACGTACAAATATATCCCATGTTTAAAGGCTGTTAAATCGCGTTGTTCACCCATATCTTCAGAAAAAAAATCACTTCTGTTGTGGTAAACAACCTGCTTCTCTATTTATAATGGTCTGGCCCTGTAGCAACTTCAGCCCAAAATTATAGCTAATTTGCCTACAAACCTCAGGTGGTCATAATAATCTGGCTACTCAGTGTTTTTCCCCAGCCAATATACCACAAGTTAACCATACACAACCCATAAGCTCACCTCTCACCCAGACCAGGGTTCCCCTCCTCCCACTACTATGTATTTCTGTCTGTGGATCTGTCTGTCTCCTGCTCCCTTTCTCTCCACTGTGGTCCTTTCCTGTGTCCCCCTCTGCCCTGCTCTCTCTCCCCTTTTCTCTCTGTCTGTCCCACACCTGGACCATGAAACTCCTGAAACCTACTTCCCTTCAGGGGCTCTTTCTCCTGGTCTCTGAGGCTCCATCTCCACCCACGTCTGCGTCTTCCCCTCCCCACGCCGTGGCCCCTCTGCTGCCTGTTCCAGTCTGTCCCGCTCCCACAGCTGCTGACTCAGGGCTGCTCCCTCTGCTCCCTCATCCCTGAGCCCCTCTTTCTGTCCCTGCACTGGCTCCCCAACTCTTCTCCTCTGAACCAGTGTCTCCGTCTCAAGTGCCTCCTCCTGTGCGGCCCCCACTTCTGCTCCCCAGGACCCGCTCCCCCTCAGCCCCCCTTCCTCTCTCTGGGCTCCCCCTCCTCCCTGTGTCTCCACTTCCTTCCTCCTCAGGCTACATTCTCCAGTGACCCCCTCACTCTCATGTCGCCGTCCAGTCCCCCCCACACCCCCTATGGGCCGCTCTCTGTGGAGCCCTCGCTGCCCTTCCTCCCGCCCACGTGTCTGTCTCTCACTCCCTCTCCTGACCCCCCAGCCTGGGCCCCCGCCCCCCGCGGTCACCGCGCCCACAAAGCCTCTCCCTGCGGGCAGGTCGCCTCTTTAGGGGACACCGCGTCCTTCCCCCTGAGCCCCCCCATGGACACTGTGCTCCCGGGGCAGGCAGACCCCTTATTAAATGGGGGTGGGCCTAGGAGGGGGGTGCAGACTCCCAGGCCGGGAGCCATCCGGGCTCTTTGGGCGGAAAGCGCCGGGCGGGGGGAGGGGCGCAAAGGGCGGGAACCCCCTGACCCAGACTCTCAGCCCCGCGGGGAGCACCCGCGGCCCCGGGAACGGTTTTCAGCGGGAAAACCGCGCGGCAGGCGGTGGCCACAGCCACAGGCGGAGAGACCCCGGGCCGGGGCCTCCGTTTCCTCCCAAAGGAACGTGGCGCCCGCACCGCGCAGCCTCCCGGGACGCGGACTCACCGCTGAGAGAGGCTCCGGGGCGGGGACCCCAACAAGGACTTCAGCGCCGGCAGCGCCCTCAGCCTTCCCTGCGAGGAGGGGGACGGGGAGCGTCAGCTTTAAAGACAAACACCCTCCTCAGGGGGAACCGCCACCTTCCCCTCCACGGCCGCTTCCGTCTGCAAGGAACTGCGCATGCGCCTCCCTGCGGGGTGGGCGGGGCCAGAGCCTGAGCTGAGCGACTCCGCGATGGGGGCGGGGCCGAGCCCGGAGGCCAGGCCTGTGCAGGGACAGAGGGAGGGAGGGCGGGGCAGGAGCGAGGGGGCAGCCCCGGGTCCCCGCACCTCCTCCCACAGGGACAGCCCTTCCTGGGGGAGTTTCCCACGTCATTGTCAGGGTTTAGCTGGTGACGCGGCTGCGAAAGGATTCACAAGGGAGAGAAGAGACAGGAGCAGAGAGAGGGCGTTTATTTTACTTCTTTGAAGGGAGGAAAAGGCCCGGTGCCCTCTGTTAGCAGAAGGCACCCAAATGGAAAGTTAAGAGATAAAACTAAGGTTCAAAGTGGGCTTTTAAATGACATAATTAGTGTTAAAATGTATCATGAATGTGATTTTTGAACAGTAACCTTTTGTTATTCTCTGCACCTCCTTCTCACAAAATAACCTTGGTGTTCACCTAGAGCCTCTCATTGAGCAGGTGACTGCAATAAAAATGGTTATAATTTATCCAAGACATAGAAGCCATATGTGAGCTAAATGTAAGAACTCTTAGATAAAAACATAGCGTTAAACCTCCATGACCTCGGATTTTACAATAGCTTAAGATATGACAGCAACACAAAAATAGAAAAAGGTTAAATAAATTAGTCATTCTCAAAATGTATGCTCAGTGCATTCAAAGACTAGGAATTCAGGGAAAATACCGTCTATATGAGAAAAAGTGATTTTAATTCACAGATCTTGAAGCATCTAGTATCCCTATTTCCCCAAGTCCTACAAATCACCAACCAAAATACAAAGATCCCAGATGGAAAAGATTAGTCTCTGCTTTCATGTCCACCAATATTTGCTTTATTTACTCAGGTCCTCAAACTTTGCACCCACAAATATTTACAAGGGTTTTATCCCCTTCATAAGTTCATCCCTTTATTATTAAGAACTAGTAGCCCAGTGCACAAAATTCATGTACATTAAAAGGGAATTAATTGCTCTAACTGGCTTGGCTCAGTGGATAGAGCATCGGCCTGCAGACTCAAGGGTCCCAAGTTCGATTCCGGTCTTGGGCATGTACCTTGGTTGCAGGCACATCCCCAGTGGGGAGTGTGGAAGAGGCAGCTAATCAATGTTTCTCTCTCATTGATGTTTCTAACTCTCTATCCCTCTCCCTTCCTCTCTGTAAAAAATCAATAAAATATATTTTTAAAGGGAATTAATTAGCAGAGATATTTTAATATTGCTATTTGCCCTTTCTCTATAAAGAAGTGTGAGAATTGAAAGGAAATTAGTAAAATATATATGAAAATCATATATAAATTTATTAATAAATAAACAGTACAAAAGGATATAACAACAGAGGCATGATATAAAAACGACAAAAACATGACATGAAAACAACAAAAACATGATATAAAAACAAGAGTGATGCAAACAATGACTGATAAAGTGATTAAACTTATTCTAGTATCTGCCTGTACACCACATTAAGAGTGAAAACACTTTCAGAGTGCTTGACTAATTTTCCTTGTGATGAAGTACTTAGAACCTTAACTGAAACATCACATGCTCTTCAAACTCGAGAAAAAGCAACATGTAACTGACCATGTGCAAAAACGGGTTCAGGTAGGAACATGCCTACTCTGTCTAGAGTTTGTCTTTGTGATTTATTAATAGTCATCAAAACTACTGGCATCACGGGAAACTGTCGTCACATCAATTTAAATGGGAGGCCAGTGTCAGATGGATACAAATTAATTCTTGGAATCAGAACAGGCTCTCCCTCTTCAGATCCTGTTAATACTTCAGCTTCGATAATGTTAGGTCGTAATCTTTTGATAATAAATCTGGTACCATTTCAAAGACCCCATTTACTATTGAGATTTCTCAATAGCATGATGACTGCACTCACTTTCAATTTTAACTTATATGTCGGTATTCCCGAAAGAGTAATAATTTTCACACATATACAATATTATATATGTGTGTATCCAGAATTGAATAAAAGGTTGGCAAGGCCAGGCACCAGTGGAAGTCCTTCCCCTTGCATTGGGCTTCTGACTGGCCCCTATTACTTCCAAATTATTATCGTCTAGTCTCTATCACTTGCGCACGGCCCTTCTCTGGATCCTGAACCCTGAACCACAAGGGATGTGAATCGCACAATGTGTATTTTATATCAATAAACCTACTCAACATTCCTCACTACAATACCAGAATATGGAACTACTGTATAGATGGGATTGAATTTTACGAATGATCTGGATCCCATAGTATGTCCTATAACAGAACAAATTCATAAAGATCCTGATCCAGATGAGTCCTGGTTAAAAATATCAGGAGACTTAGATACATAGGAATGCTCCAGGGGTATGTCAGAAAGTAGAAAAATATTGAACTATTGCAGGTGGTCTGCAGGTGAACGGTGACGCTGAGATGAGTTCGGCAAGTAGGATTGAGCTAAGAGAAGCAGAGGGCTACCGCTCACTCAGGCATGTAGCAAAACCTCCAAAGCTCGCATGGCTTTTATTTGGGAGTACAGCAAGTAACAATGGAGTACAGCAAGTTACAATGGTAAACAGGCATGCCTATGAGATCATCTTAGCTAAGTTATCCATTAAAGTATTAATTTCCTATCTACACTAATAAAAGAGAAAGATGCAAATTGACCATACGCCTGAATGCTTCCCATTGGCTAACCCCCGAACACTTCCCATTGGCTAATCAGCAAGATATGCAAATTGACTGTCAACCAAGATGGCGGCCGGCAGCCAGGCAGCTGAAGCAAACAGGCTTCCTTGCTCCAGTGACGGAGGAATCCAACGTTCCTGGCCTGCGGCAACCCAGATCTGAGCTCCATTTGCAACGATGTTGCAATTATAGAAGCTAAAGAAACCCCAGATTCCTGCTTTCAGCCGGCAGCCGGCTCAGAGATTAGAGTGCCAGTGATGGCAACAGAGTTTCAATGATAGAAGCTAAACAAAGCCCAGATGACCTGCTTTCAACAGCAGAGGCCTCAAGCTGGAGCCGGCCTCAGAGCTAAAGCCGACCCTCAATTCCAGTGACAGCCATAGAAGGCAAATAAATCCCTGAATAAAAAAGAAAAAGGAAAAAAAGCAGAGGTTGGGAGCTTCAGTCACCCGCCAACCTGAAAACGGCCCTCAGTCCACAGGCTGACAGTCTAGCCACTGAAAAAAACTGGTCAGGGTGAGGAAACAACTTTTTTAGCTCCAGAATGTTCTCATCATTAGATCTTCTCATTATTAGACCTGCCCTATAACAAATCCATAAGAAATATAGTTTTGGAGAGAATTTTATAATTCTACATAACACTAACATATGGACATATAAAGATGTCCTCGTCTGTGGAAAAATATACAGAAATATAAAATTTATGGTGTTCTATTAAAGAAACACGTATCACTTTGATTTCTCTTGTGGAACTTTAGAAAATAAAAGGAATCGTCTGACCCAAGTGGCTCAGTAGTTATGGGTATATCTGTGAACCAGGAGGTCACAGGTTGATTCCTGGTCAGGGCACATGCCTATACTGTGGGCTCCTTCCCCAGTGTGGAGTGTGCAGGAGGCAGTCAATCAATGATTCTCTCTTATCATGGATGTTTCTATTTTTCTCCCCATCTCCTTCTTCTCTAAAATAAAATAAAAATTCTATTTTTAAAAAATAAAAAATAAAAGGAATAAAACCTTAAATCTCTTTTATAAGACAAACAACATTAAAGATACTATGATATTTGCCCTGGTCGCTTTGGCTCAGTGGATAGAGCATAAGCCTACGGACTGAAGGGTCCCGGGTTAGAATCCAGGCAAGGGCACGGACCTTGGTTGTGGGTACATCCCCAGAAGGGGGTGTGCAGGAGGCAGCTGATCGATGTTTCTCTCGCATCGTTGTTTCTTTTGTTTGTTTTATTGCTTAAAGTATAACAAAGGGTATTACATATGCCTCCTTTTTTCCCCGCCCTTGACAATCCCCTGGCCTCCCCAACCCCCCAGTGTCTTAGTTCCATTGGTTATGCTTATATGCATGCATACAAGTCCTTGGGTTGATCTCTTACCTCCCCCTTCCCCCCCTCCCTCCCCAGCCTTCCCGCTGCAGTTTGACAGTCTGTTCAAGACAGCTCTGCCTCTGTATCTATTTTTGTTACTAAGTTTATAATGGTCTGATTAAAGACTTCAGGACTGTATTTACATTTGTATTGTTTCTCTCCAGTATGAATTCTGATTTCAACTAAGTTTTGCATACTGAATAAGCTTTCAGAAATTCTTTATATCTGCTGGGCTTCTATCCAGTAATAATTATCAGATGCTCTATGACATACATACACTTTGACATATGCCTCAAAATTTATAAGGCTTAATTTTATCATTCTCTATGAAGATTAAACCTATGGTTAAACCTTTGGCCAAATACTCTGATTACTTGTTTTTCTTTAGAATGATTCTTAAAATGTTGCCTAAGTTTGACTACAACTTAAAGGCTCTCTCACATTTTCTACAGTATAGGCTTTCCTCCACTATAAAATCAATGATGCTCTGTAAACTTTGATTTGAGGGTAAATGCTCCAGCCCATTTCCTAAGTTTGTAAGGACTCTCTTTAGTAGGAAGACTCTCATGTACAGTAATATCTAAATAGCCCGGAAAGGCGTTTTTATATTTTGCACATTTATTTGGCGTCATCCCAGTACGAATTTTGTGATATTCACTAACTTCTCCCTGGTAAACACTTCCAACACTCCTCACATCTGGAAGACTTCTCTCAAGTATGAACTCTCTGATGATAAGTGAGGGATGAAGAATGCCTAAAGGCTTTGCCACATTTTGTACATTTATAAGGCTTCTCACCAGTATGAACTTTTTGATGTCGATTAAGCTGTGAGGAGACCCTGAATGCTTTGCCACATTTTGTACATTTATAAGGCTTCTCTCCAGTATGAACTCTCTGATGTCGATAAAGCTGTGAGGAGTCCCTGAATGCTTTGCCACATTCTGTACATTTATAAGGCTTCTCTCCAGTATGAACTCTCTGATGCATAATAAGTTGTGAGGATCTACCAAAGGCTTTGTCACATTCTCTACATTTATAAGGTTTCTCTCCAATGTGAACTCTCTGATGACCAGTAAGGTCTGAGGAATGGCTAAAGGCTTTGCCACACTCTGTACATTTATAAGGCTTCTCTCCAGTATGAACTCTCCGATGTTTAGTAAGAAGTGAAGAGCTGCCAAAGGCTTTGCCACATTCTCCACATTTATAAGGCTTCTCTCCAGTATGAACGTTCTGATGTTGATCAAGCTGTGAGAAGACCCTGAATGCTTTGCCACATTTTGTACATTTATAAGGCTTCTCTCCAGTATGTATTCTCTGATGTCGATTAAGGTGTGAGGAATCTCTGAATGCTTTGCCACATTCTGTACATTTATAAGGCTTCTCTCCAGTATGAACTCTCTGATGTCGATAAAGCTGTGAGGAGTCCCTGAATGCTTTGCCACATTCTGCACATTTATAAGGCTTCTCTCCAGTATGAACTCTCTGATGCATAATAAGGTGTGAGGATCTACCAAAAGTGTTGCCACATTCTTTACATTTATAAGGCTTCTCTCCAGTGTGAACTCTCTGATGACCAATAAGGGTTGAGGATTGGCTGAAGGCTTTGCCACATTCTGTACATTTATAAGGCTTCTCTCCAGTATGAACTCTCTGATGTTTAGTAAGAAGTGAAGAGCTGCCAAAGGCTTTGCCACATTCTCCACATTTGTAAGGCTTCTCTCTAGTATCAACTTTCTGATGTTGATTAAACTTTGTGGACTCACTGAATGCTTTGCCACATTCTGAACATTTATAAGGCTTCTCTCCAGTATGAACTCTCTGATGCGTAATAAGGTATGAGGATCTACCGAAGGCTTTGCCACATTCTGTACATTTGGAAGTCTTCTCTCCAGTATAAATTCTCTGATTTGCAGTGCAACCTGACAGCCAATTACATGTTTTACCAGAATCTTTACATTTATAAGGTTTTTCTCCACTATGGATTTTTTTCATTTTATTTAGATTGAATACTTGACTGGAGATTCTGCCACAAGGATTCCATTTGTAAGCCTCCTCCCCAGTATGAACATTCTCTTGTTCACTGTAATTTGAAGACTGCTGAAAAGACTGGACACATTTACTTCCTTTGTGTGTCTTCTCCACAATAGGAATAAACTGATGTATCTTGTGACTGGACATTTGCTCAAAGACTTTTCCACCTTTATAATGGTCCTCTGCGAGCTCACTTGTCCGATGATTAAGATAAGACTCCTGCTTAAAATTTTCCCAATGTTCAATCCATTGGCAAGTGCAATCTCCTTTATGTGTACTCTGGTAATAATCGGAGATAGAAAGATCTTTAGTGAGAGTTATAATTTCTCTAAACATGTACACTCATTGCATAAGTACCATTTTGTAATACTCATTAAACCAAGATGGCTGTATAAAAAAACGCTTTCCTAATTTATTGAAATTATAGATAAAAAATAAATACAAAACATTAATTGTCAAAGGAAGAACAATGAATTCTTGTTTAAAAGACTGCCAAACTGCCCAGCCAGCATGGCTCAGTGGTTGAGCTTCGATGTATGGACTAGTACATCATGGTTCTGTTCCCGTTGAGAGCAAATGCCCAGTTCCAGGATCAGTCTACAGTGAGACGCATGCAGGAGCCAGCCAATGAATGATTCTCTCTCATCATTGCTGTTTTCCCCTCCCTCTTTCTCTCTTACTCTCTGAATTCAACAAAAATATATTTTTTAATTTAAAAAAAATCGTAAAAAAGATTGCCCAGTTGAGCACATTTTAATAGGTAAGTTATAAAGCTATACATTTTAGGAATTATTCCATGAATGTTTACTTCTACACTACATTTTAAATAATTCAAACAAATATTTACACTAAAGAATATGTGAATTCCTAGCCTTTCCAGATTTCCTTTCCAAGAATGCATAACAAGAAAAAGTTGTTTTCAATCTTCACGTACAGAAACACACTGATCTGCCAATATAACTGACTTAATTTTATTATTTATTATTTTTTTATATATATTTTATTGATTTTTTACAGAGAGGAAGGGAGAAGGAGAGATAGAAATATCGATGAGAGAGAAACATCAATCAGCTGCATCCTGCACACCTCCCACTGGGATGTGCCCGCAAACAAGGTACATGCCCTTGACCAAAATTGAACCTAAGACCTTTTAGTCCCCAGGTCAACGCTCTATCCACTGAGCCAAACTGGTCAGGGCATAACTGACTTTAAAGTGTAAGATATCCCAAATGCATAATACCTCTTTAGATAACAAGAATGTTATTAGACTAAATGTTCCAGATTAGTTCCGTTTATATTAATATTCTCCCTTCTCATCACACTCTTCCTCAAATTCCAAGGCTCTCCTTAAGTATACATTATCAAAGCGACATCTTTTACATCTCACCAGTATTATTTCAGGGAATAAATCTTGTAGTCCGGGCTTTGGCATAAGGACCTGGTTATCTTTAGATGACATAGCTGTAAAAAAAGCACACAAATTCTTAAGTTTCCACAACCAGGTCAGTGCACTTTGAAGTTAACTGCACGTATTGACCAAATGACATTTTGGTGTACTCCAAGAGCATGAAAAGAATTCAATCAAAGCTAAAGATAGGTTCAGTGAGGAAAACTCACATCAAAGAGGGACAAAGAGTTCCTTAAACCTCCTGGCACACTATGGCAATATTACAAAAACACTCACAATGCCCAGTTTCTTTGCTGGAGAGAGAAAGATGAGGGATCATAAAGAACTTAGAATATAAGAATTTGCCTGAAAGCGGTGGCTCACTGGTTGAGTTTCCATCTATGAACCAGGTGGTCACACTTTGGTTCCACGGCAGGGCACAGGCCTGAGTTGAAGGCTCGCTCCCCGATCATGCTGGAGGCAGGTGATTGATGATTCTCTCTCTTCATTGAAATTTCTCTCTCTCTCTCTCTCTCTCTCTCTCTCTCTCTCTCTATCTCTCTCTCTTCCTCTCTGAAATCAATAAGGATATATTTAAAAAATAAAATAATCAAAGAACTTGTACATATTTAAGAAAAGCCAACAAACATGTAGAAATATGAAGAGAATTTAAGGAACTCCTAAGACATTAACAAGTCAACCTCCAAGAGGACACCAAAAAGACAGGATCGTGAAAAGGATTAGATAGCTTATATAAAAAATTAATCATTTAAGATCCTGACAATTGGAGAAAGTGAAATACAAATGCAAGCAGTTCAATGAACTCTAAGTAGAATCAATATAAACCTGAGGACAGATAAAAAAAAAACACAATGAAAATATCATAAATCTCAGAATACAATCCAAAAAGCATATAAAAACATAACTTTTCAAGGAAAAAAACATTTCCTCTATGATCATTAGGGGGTTTCTAAGGAGAATACGATTGGAGGCTAAAAAGGGCACGAAATAGAACACTGAAGAATTAAGTGAACAAAAGCCATCCTGAACAAGAATACTGACAAAACAGATCAACAATGGAGAGGAGAAAACTTTTCCAGCTCCAAAACTATCTCATTATTAGACCCTCTCATTATTACATCTGCCCTATAAATAATCCTTAAGAAATATACTCCTGGAGATAATTTAAAAATTCTACACAAGAAGAGATGAAAATATAAAAATTGCCCTAACCGGTTTGGCTCAGTGGATAGAGCGTCAGCCTGTGGACTGAAAGGTCTCAAGTTCGATTCCAGTGAAGGGCATGTATCTTGGTTGTGGGCACCTTCCCAGTGGGAGGTCTGCAGGAGGCAGCTGATCGATGTTTCTCTCTCATCAATGTTTCTAACACTCTATCTCTCTCCCTTCCTCTCTGTAAAAAGTGAATAAAAAATATATTTAAAAAAAGAAAAGAATTAAAAAAAAGAAAGTATAATATACACATTGAGACACAGGTAAATAGAGGAGCACGGTAGGCCCTCATAAGTGTGGCTCAGGGTTAGAGCATCATCCTGTGCACTTCAGGGTGGTGGGTTGAATGCCCGTTCAAGGGCATATACCTCGGTTCCAAATTCCCACCCCACCTGGGTTGAAGTGGGAACAGAAGGGGGCCAGTCAATGTGTCTCTCTCACATGGATGTTTCCTTCTCTCTCCCGGTCCTTGCTCCCACCCTTCCACTCTCTCTGAAAAGCAATGAAAAAAACAGATACATGTTCTCATGTGAGGTTTAACCACACCTACAAAAAAGAAGTACTGTAGAATAAAAAGCCTATTTAAAGCTTCTCACGCATGAGGTGAAATAATCTACAACAGTGCTTATATCACAAAAGAAGTAACAGACATACTCACATGTACAAATAGTGTTGAGATACTTAGATGTCTATATGTAAAAGAATAAGGGAAGTTTGAAACAAAAAGCTAGTAATAACTCAAACTATTAAAAGAAAAGTTATAGAAAAGTATTTGTTTTAGATAATACATTTTTATTTATTTCAGAGAGGGAGGGAGAGGGAGAGAGAGATAGAATCATTAAGAGAGAGTCATTCATTGGTTGCCTCCTGCATTGCCCCTACTGGGGATCAAGCCTGCATCCTGGTCATGTGTCCTTGATTGGAATTGAATCCGGGACCCTTCTGTCCACAGGCCGACACGACACTCTATCCACTAACTCAATCTGGCTAAGGCATATGGAAAAGTTTTTATGACATTTGATATTATATTGTATCACTGAATGGAAAGGTAAACAAAAAAAAAGTAGTCAAAAGGCATTACAAACCATATAAAAATAACTTCACATTAAAGCAAATTGTCAGTGCATTAAAAATACAAGCTGTGAATTGGGAAAAAAAATCCTACAAAGCATATTACCTGATAAGTAGTTAATATTCAGAATACATAAAAATCAACATGAAAAAAGTAACACAATTTTTTAAAATGTCCAAAGCTATAAAGTTAACTAATCCTATCTAATAATAGACAAACATGGTAATTAACCGTAAGTTCGCTACCCTTCCGATTGGCTAATCAGGGCTATATGCAAATTAACTGCCAACTAAGATGGAGGTTAACCACCAACAATGATGGCGGCTAATTTGCATACTGCAGGCAGGGCACGACAGCGCCATCCCACCTGCCCCGCTATAATCCGGGCCTGCTATTTGCGACCCGGTCTGCAGGCGGCCGGTATGAAAACAGACCCAGGGCCGAAACCGGTTTGGCTCAATGGATAGAGCGTTGGCCTGCGGACTGAGAGGTCCCAGGTTCGATTCCGGTCAAGGGCATGTACCTGGGTTGCGGGCATATCCCCAGTGGGAGATGCGCAGGAGGCAGCTGATCGATGGTTCTCTCTCATCGATGTTTCTAACTCTCTATCTCTCTCCCTTCCTCTCTGTAAAAAATCAATAAAATATATTAAAAAAAAGAAAAGAAAACAGACCCAGGGATGGCAGCGAGACCGCAGCGATCGGCTACCAGCCACGCACACAAACGACCCTCCCTTGGGCATCCCTGGTGCCCCATGCTAATGTACTGCTCCGCCACCAGCCACACCCACAAACGTCCATCCAAGGGGAATCCGAGGCTGGCGGATGCTAATGCACCCATCTGCCACCGGCCACGCCCACAAAGGACCGGGGGCGGGTGGGGGTCCCCGGCTGACAGGTGCTAATGCACCGATCAGCCAAAACAAACACCCCAGCCGCCTTTGCCCTGCGCTAACTATGCAACCAGGAGAGGGGAGTGGGGCTGCTGGGAGCAGGGCAGAAATTTCCCGGGGTTTGCATCAGGCAGCCCATAGCAGAGTGCGAACTATCCAGGCCGGTAGCTCCTTGCTCATTCACTTACTTGCTCATTCATTCACTCATTCACTCACTCATTATTCACTCACGCAGCAAACCCTCTCAGGTCCCTGGCACCAGGCCAGGCACTGAAGTTGAAGCAGGATAAGACAGAGCTATGTCCTCAAGATGTTAGTAATTAAGTATGCAGCCAGGAGAGGGGCCCCAGGATGCTGAGGACAGGGGTAATTTTCCCAGGGTGGGCTTCAGGGAGCCAGGAATGAGGCCGGAACTTCTGCCGTGTTGCCATGGCAACACGTTGCCGCCCCTTAGCTGCTTGCTCATTCACTTACTCCCTCATTCATTCACTCATTCACTCACTCTCTCACTCACTCTCTCACTCACTCAGCAAACCCTCTCAGGTCCCTGGCACCAGGGCAGACACTGAAGTTGAAGTAGGATAAGACGGAGCTATGTCCTCAAGATGTTAGAAATTGAGTATGCAGCCAGAAGAGGGGTTCAGGGCCCCTGGGAGCAGGGCAGGAACTTTCCTGGGGTGGGCTTCAGGCAGCCGGGAGTGGGGCCGGAACTTCTGCTGCGTTGTCATGGCAACGCGGCAGAAGTTCCCGCCTGGTAGCTGTTTGCTTATTCACTTACTCGCTCAGTCATTCACTCATTCATTCACTCACTCAGCAAATCCTCTTAGGTCCCTGGCACCAGGGCAGGCACTGAAGTTGAAGCAGGGTAAGACGGAGCTATGTCCTCAGGATGTTAGTAATTCAGTAGGGCGAAGCAGGCACATGAACGAGACAGTTGTATACACAGATGCAGTGTACTAGGTTCTGAGAGGGTAGTAACTAACGCCGACTTTGTTCTCTTGATAAAATGAAGCTTTGGGAGCCAGGACGCACCAAGCCTGTAGGCCTGTGCCTAGGCCAGGAGTGGCCGGTGTCCCAGAACATGACAGAGGGTACAGGTCGGACTGAGGGGTCTGGCCCCACTCCTCACCCTCACCCCCAAGTGCACAAACTTTTGTGCACTGGGCTACTAGTCCACAAGAAAACAGGCAAGAACACACAATAGGTAAAGACACATTCTTCACCAAGTACGGAAACAAAAATGGAACAGATACATGCAAAAATAATAAAACTAGGTCCCGTTCATAGGCCATGAACCAAAATGTACTCAGCAGGGATTAACAACTAAAATATAAGACCTGAAACCATGAAAACAGTGAAAGAAAACATTGTCAATGAACTTAACCATCACTCTTAAAAATAGTGGTTTGCATATATCTTCCTAGGCATAACAAAGAAGTTTAAAAATAAAGAAATGAGACTACAAAAAAATAAGATTGGCATACCAAAAGAAACCACAGCTAGGTCAGAGAGCCCCAGAGCTTCCGAAAGAAGGCCCAAGGCCCAGCAGCAGCAGCCTGCCTTGCTTCACAGCTGGGCCTCGTATGGGAATTTCCAAACCTCATACAAAGAGGAGGAATCTGCAGATGCCTCTGTAGCTCCTGCTGGGCGGCCCCAGACAGTGGCTGAACTTACAGCTCCTTGGACATCGAAGAGCCAGTGTACCCAGTGGTCAGAATGAGACCATACCGGATTACAACTGTTCACATCCATAAGAGAAATATTCAAAGGGCAGACTCAGTGAGCATCAAAGCCACACTGAAACAAGTCCTGCCCCATAAGGGTATTTCCTGCACAACAGATCTTCCAGTGTAGACACAGCAGGTCATCACAGCCAGTTGGGCTAAAGGTCAACTCCTCCCAGTGATACCAACAGCAATCAAGGGTTAACTACAACAGGACTGTGCAAACAGCCCACAAAGGGGTGCACCAAGAGCGTCCACCTCAGGTGACTGGGGAGGCTGAGCCACTGGGCCCTATATGACACTTACCACACAAGGCCACTCTATCAACTCAAGGAGACTTAGCAGCTACCCAGTACATAGAAGCAAACACAGGGAAGCAGCCAAAATGCGGAAACAAAGAAACAAGCCACAAATGAAAGAAATGGAAGAAAGCAAACTACTGGATATAGAGTTCAAAACCACGGTTCTAAGGCTACTCAAGAATCTTGTAGAAACCCCTGAGAAATTTAGTGAGACCCTCGGGGATATGAAAAAGGACCAATCAGAAATTAAGCATACACTGACTGAAATAAAGAGGTTCAACAGCACACTAGAGGATCCCAAGAATCAAATCAAAGATTTGAAATATGAAGAAGCAAAAAACACCCAAACGGAAAAGCAACAAGAAAAAAGAATCCAAAATTATGAAGATAGTGTAAGGAGCCTCTGGGACAACTTCAAGTGTTCTAACAGCCGAATTATGGCGGTGCCAGAAGAAGAGAGCAAGATACTGAAAACCTATTTGAAGAAATAATGACAGAAAACTTCTCCTACCTGATGAAAGAAATAGACTTACAAGTCCAGGAAGCGCAGAGAACCCTAAACCAGAGGAATCCTATTTTCTGTTAGTAACTTAATTAGTGTATATAACATGGAAAGTGTACAAACACTAAGTTCCTAATTCACATACATCACAAAGCGTTTCTTTTCTATCGCAAGGACCCCCCGATTTGTTCCCCTATTAAAAAAATATATATTTTTGTTACTTTCAGAGAAGAAGGGAGAGGGACAGATAGAAACATCAATGATGAGAGAGAATCGGGAGAAACTAAGATGGCGGCATAGGTAAACACTGGGAAACTGCCGCCTCCCACAACAATTGAAAATTACCGCAAAGGACAGAGTAGACATCATCTAGAACAACAGGAAGGCTGGCTGAGTGTAAATTCTACAACTAGAAGGAAAGAAAAGCACGCTGAGAGCCAGAGGAGCTGCGGAGGTGAAGTGCAGAGGTACGGCGGCTCGCGTGCGCGGAACGGGGGTGGCACCTGAGGACGCAGCTGTATTTTTCAATCACAAGCTCCCGACTGCTCTGAACTCCGGTTCCGGGAAGTCTCTGGGGACCCAGGACTCATACGGGGAGAAGCTGGTCTGTCCGGCAGCCGGCGAACTTGAAGGCGGCTATCCCTCAGAGGTGCTTGCAGCAATTAGCGGGTCACTGAGACCCCCAACTCCGGGTGGAGAATCAGCCATAGCTCCTTGATCCGCCCTTTGATTCCCTGAGACCCCGCCCCACCCAGGCTGCGGCAGAGGCTTTTGCATGTGAATGTACCTAACTGCAGGCGAGACAGGCAGACCCGAACTTCCAAGAGAAGGCCCAAGGCCCCGCAGCGGCTTGCATTGCTTCACAGCTGAGCCTCTTCGTGGCTCCTGCTGTGTGGCCTCAGGCAGAGGCTGAATTAGCACCTCCTTAGATCCAGGAGCCACTGTACCCAGTGGTCAGAGGGGGACCATCCAGATTGCAACTCCTCAGATCCATAAGGGACACACTCAGGGAGCAGACTCAGTGAGCACCAAAGCCCCAATGAAGCAAGTCTTGCCCCAGAAGGGTGTCTTCAGCACAGAAGTTCTCCCACTTTAGACACAGCTGATTCTCACAGCCAATTGGCCTGGAGGTCAATTCCTCCCAGTGATCCTACAACAACCAAGGCACCAAGAGTGCACCAAGAGTGTCCACCCCAGGTAACTGGGGAGGCTGAGCCACTGGGCCCTACAAGACACCTAGTGCGCAGGGCCACTCTATCAACACAGGGAAGCAGCCAAAATGCGGAGACAAAGAAACAGGTCACAAATGGCAGAAATGGAGGAAAGCAAACGACTGGATATAGAGTTCAAGGCCACGTTTATAAGGTTTTTCAAGAATTTTATGGAAACCGCCGATAAATTTAATGAATCCCTCAATAAGTATAGTGAGACCATGGAGGACATGAAAAAGGACCAACTAGAAATTAAGCATACACTGACTGAAATAAAGAATATTATACAGACTCCCAACAGCAGACCAGAGGATCGCAAGAATCAAGTCAAAGATTTGAAATACGAAGAAGGAAAAAACACCCAACCGGAAAAGAAAAAAGAAAAGAGATTCCAAAAAAATGAAGATAGTGTAAGGAACCTCTGGGACAACTTCAAGTGTACCAACATCAGAATTATAGGGGTACCAGAAGGAGAGAGAGGGCAAGATATTGAAAACCTTTTTGAAGAAATAATGACAGAAAACTTCCCCTACCTGGTGAAAGAAATGGACTTACAAGTCCAGGAAGTGCAGAGAACCCCAAACAAAAGGAATCCAAAGAGGACCACACCAAGACACATCATAATTAAAATGCCAAGGGCAAACGACAAAGAGAGAATCTTAAAAGCAGCAAGAGAAAGACAGTCAGTTACCTACAAGGGAGTACCCATACGACTGTCAGCTGATTTCTCAACAGAAACCATGCAGGCCAGAAGAGAGTGGCAAGAAATATTCAAAGTGATGAATAGCAAGAACCTGCAACCAAGATTACTTGATCCAGCAAAGCTATCATTCAGAATAGAAGGTCAGATAAAGAGCTTCACGGATAAGAAAAAGCTGAAGGAGTTCATCACCACCAAACCAGCATTATATGAAATGCTGAAAGGTATTCTTTAAGAAGAGGAAGAAGAAAAAGGAACTCTTACCATTTGCCACAGCATGGATGGAACTGGAGAGCGGATAAATACCACAGGATCTCACTCATTTGTGGAATATAATGAACAACATAAACTGATGAAAAAGGACTGATCCAGAGACAGAGAGGCATTGATTGGACTGTCCGGCCTTGGAGGGAAGGTAGGGGAGGGTGGGGGTAAAGGGGAAAGATCAACCAAAGGACTTATATGCAAGCATATAGGCCTAATCAATGGACATGGACAACGGGGGGGGGAAGGCATGAGCGGGGGGGGGCGGTGGGGGGTAGAGGGTAATGTGGGGACAAGGACACATATGTAATATCTTAATCAATAAAAAATATATTAAAAAAAAAATGATGAGAGAGAATCATTGATCAGATGCCTCCTGCACGCCCCCTACTGGGGAGCAAGCCCGCATCCTCATATTTGCCCTTGAACAGAATGGAACCTGGGACCTCTCAATCTGCAGGCAGGCATTCTATCCACTGAACCAAACCACCTAGGGCCCAATTTGTTCCTTGAGAGCTAGAATGTAACACAGAAAGCAACAGCTCCTAGAGATGTTAAAAGAATAAAGGAAAGCAAACACTGCAGGTGGAGTAGGAACTTGGGAAAGAGTCAGCGTTACCGAGGAAGGCCAAGTTGCTGTAGTTCTCTGACATCACATCCATGTACAATTTCCGCTGAGCTGGGTCCAGGCATTCCCACTCCTCCTGAGAGAAATCTATGGCCACATCCCTAAAGGTCAATGGTTCCTGAAAGAAATACACATTTACCAAGAGGTCACCAGAAGAGTTCATAATGTCACCCAACATGAAAACAGTGTCAGGAGAAGAGGTTTGGACCTACGGGAGTATCCTGGGTTATTTAATAGATCACTTTGACCAGTAACATTCTCTGATGTGTTTTCTAACACTGACACATGAGGATGACACATGCCCACCAATCCACGGTACAGATTAATGTTTCAGGAAATTTACTATGAGTAATCTTAGAACAAGCTTATTCTGCCTGATCCAGCTGATGTGGCTCAGTTTTGCGTTGCTAACGCATGCACCAAAAGCTCTCTGGTTTGATTCCTGATCTGGACACATGACCAGGATGCGGACTTAATCCCCAGTGTGTGGTGTGTAGGAGGCAGCCAATCAATGATTCCCTTTTATCATTGAAGTTTCTCTCTCTCTCTAGCTCTCCCTCTCTGAAATTAATAAAAATGTATTTCGGGGGGGAAAAAAGGAAAAAATAGCTGCAATAAGGTTAACAGTTTAGGCTCAGAGACACACATTTTACAACTATGAAATCAAGATGGTTTAATGGAAAAATTCTACAACTAGAAGGAAAGAGAAAAGCATACCGAGACTCAGAGGAGGCTCAGGACGGAAGTAAAATACTGAGGTGCGGAGGTGCATGGGGAGCGGGCTGGCGGCTAAAGGCGAGATTGTTGTTTTCAATCGAGAGGGAGTCTCAGGTTCTGAGCTCCAGTTCTGGGCGGGTCTCTAGGGACCCAGACTTATACAGGAGAAGCAGGACTGTCTGGCATCGGTCGGAACTCGAGGGCAGCTTTCTCTCCGAGGGGTTTACAGTGAGTACCCGGACACTGAGAAGCAGAGCCTCTGAGGGCAAGACTGAGAGCAGCCATAACTGCTAGCCACGCCCTGTTGATCCAGTGGTACACGCCCTGCCCAAGCCCTGCAGGGAGGTTTTTGCTGGATAGCCTCAGGCAAAGGCTACATTAGCACCTCCCTAGAGTTCCAGGAGCCAATGTACCCAGAGGTCAGAGTGGGACCATCCAGTTTGCAGCTCCGTGGAACCATAAAGGACACACTCAGGGGGCAGACTCAGTGAGCACCAAAGCCCCATTGAAGCAAGTCTTGCCCCAGAGGGGTGTCTCCAGCACAGAAGTTCTCCCACTGCAGACACAGCTGATTCTCACAGCCAATTGGCCTGGAGGTCAATTCCTCCCAGTGATACCTACAACAATCAAGGCTTAAGCACAACAAGACTGTGTACAAAGCCCACAAAGGGGTGTATCAAGAGTGTCCAATTGCCTCATCGGTCACCACACAGATCAGCCATCATTGCCGGCCAGGCTTAGGGATCCTACCCTATATTGAGGGAACAGTCTCTTAGATTTAAAAATTAAAGCTGGGAAAGGATATTCTAACACTGAAAAAACTGGATGATGCAGCGATGACATGCCTGGACTCTAGTTTACAGATTTTGTGCTCAACCCTGATTCTCATAACTTATAACTGTCGGACAAAGCCAATTACTTCTCTGCTTCAGTTTTTCTACTCATAATGATGAAGAAAATGGTACTACTGCCTCAGAAAGATCATGTTATATACTTTTTACTCAGGGCAAAAAAATGTAGCTGCCGATATAACAGCAAGATGCCTTTCACCTGTATGAAAAGTATGGTCACCAAGCATGCAGCGTCCTGGATTACAAGACGGATGTCCAACTGCTGGTTTTTGGACATTGCCCGAGGGGTCCCGGAATGTGTGAGGGGGCAGGACGGGCTGAGGGACCCTCTAACCCTTGCATGAATTTCGTGCACCAGGCCTCTAGTGATGAATAAAGTAATGAAATAAGGAAAGAAAAACAACCTGCAAAGGCAAGAACATCAGCAGTAGAGAAATTAATCACCAGCTGTTAGAGAAAAGCAAACGTAACTTCAGGCATAGGACACATCTTTTACCTGAGAAGCAGCCATTTCGTCCTGGTCCTGATCGGGGTCTGGGTTGTTTTCTCAGGTGACACTATGTTGAGGAGTTACAGAATGGGCCTTCAAAGAAGGAAGCACAGCCTCTTAATCAGCTCATCTCATTCACAGTCAGAAGGACCTTAAAATGCAGAAAAGACCACCCCCTCCAGCCATTGTCACAGGACAGTCTGTAACAATGAGCTCCTGTATGGAGACTATACTGTGAGGTGGGTTTTTCCACCATCATGTGTCTCTCCACCCAAAGACATCCACAAACTCCTACAGAAATGAAAACATGAGCTGTTGTCCTTACCCCCCAAACCAAACAGAGCACCCCCTTCCCTCCCCTGAACAAACTCTGCTCCTCACTCTTAGGAAGGAATCCTGCAAACCTGCTAATCCCTGCCCTCACCTTCCATCACCTGGTGCACCTCAGTAACCAATGATTCCCCACCTAGAGCTGCTAACCAACTCTACAGGGGAGAGTACCCTGAGGGCATTTCTTAAAATTCCTCAGGGGATCTGAGAAGACCCAGAGGATTCATCTCAGGATGTTTTTAAATAATAAATTAAGTGCCAGACATAGAAACAGTAAATCCATTGAAGAAACACACACACACAGAAAACACCACAGCAACAAAGCAAAGGCTTCTAATATTCCTAGAAAAAGCATCAGATGGTGACACATGCAAGGTCACCTAGTCTTTGCAATCCCAGGAAATGACAAGGGACCCATAACCAAAGGGCAAGTCTCTGCCCTTTGAGTGAATAAGGACTGCAATTGGAAGCTAATGATTATAAAACTAGAGGCTCAGCGCATTGGAGTGGGGGTATCCCTCAGCCCAGCTTGTACCCTCTCAATCTGAGACCCCTCAGGGGATATCCGATGGCCAGTTTAGGCCTGATCCCTTGGATTTGGCCTAAATCGGCAGTCGGACATCCCTCTCACAATTGGGACTGCTCCCTCCCAACAGCTTGCCTACCTGCCTTTCTGATTTCCCCTAACCACTTCTGCCTGCCAGCCTGATCACCCACTAACCACTCCTCTGCCAGCCTGATCGATGCCTCACTGCTCCCCTGCCAACCAGATCACCCCCAACTTTCCTCCCCTATCAGCCCAGTCTCCCCTAACTTCCCTCCCCTGCAGGACCGATAAACCCCACTTGCCCTCCCCTGCCAGCCATCTTGTGATGACATGGGGGCAACCATCTTGTGAGGGCATAACAGTCAATTTGCATAGCACCACTTTACTGTATAGGACTCCCAAGCTTTATAAACTGGAGATTTGTCATTCTCATTTAAATCTGTAAAACTGAAACAATTCAGTTGTTAAATTCAATATATACACACACCTAGGCAGCATGGCTCAGTGGTGGAGCTTGGACCTATGGACCAGGAGGTCATAGTTATATTCCTAGTCAGGGCATATAGCCAGGTTGCATGTTAGATCCCCAGTTAGGGGTGTGCAGGAGACAGCTGACCAATGATTGTCACTAGTCATTGACTTTTTATTTTATTTTTATTTTTTAAGTCTCTCTTTCCGTCTCCTTGCCTCTAGGAAATCAATAAAAATATATTTTAAAAAAATGTGTGTGTGTGAAATATATATATATATATGTGTATATATATATTACACACACATTTACATACATACAGTGGGGCCTTGACTTACGAGTTTAATTCGTTCCGCGACGGAGCTCGTAACTCAAATTACTCGTATGTCAAATCTTAATGTGAGCGCGTGAGACACATGATGCTGGGCTGATGTTGTGGCGTTCAATGTGCCAACCAGTGGTGGGGTATCTGAAGCTGGCTCATAACCTGAATTTTAGTTCGCCACTCAAAGCAAAAAATCGGCCGAGAGTGGGCTTGTATCTTGAAAAACTCGTTAGTCAGGACACTGGTAAGTCAGGGCCCCACTGTATATAGACACGTACTCCACAAGTTGATATATTTCAAAACTAAATCATCCAAATCCCATTAGCTCACCCCTCACCCAGATCAGGGTTCCCCTCCTCCCACTACATGTATTTCTGTCTGTGGATCTGTCTCTGTCTCCTGTTCCCTTTCTCTCCACTGTGGTCCTTTCCTGTGTCCCACTCTCCCCTGCTCTTTCTCCCCTTTTCTCTCTGTCCTACACCTGGACCATGAAACCTACTTCCCTTCAGGGGCTCTTTCTCCTGGTCTCTGAGGCTCCATCTCCACAAACGTCTGCGTCTTCCCCTCCCCACGCCCGCGGCCCCTCTGCTGGCTGTTCCCGTCTGTCCCGCTCCCACAGCTGCTGACTCAGGGCTGCTCCCTCTGCTCCCTCATCCCTGAGCCCCCTTTCTGTCCCTGCACTCGCTCCCCAACTCTTCCCCTCGGAACCAGTGTCTCTGTCTCAAGTGCCTCCTCCTGTGCGGCCCCCACTTCTGCTTCCCAGGACCCTCTCAGCCCCCCTTCCTCTCTCTGGGTTCCCCCTCCTCCCTGTGTCTCCACTTCCTTCCTCCTCAGGCTCCTTTCCCCAGTAGCCCCCACTCCTACCTTCGCCGTCCAGTTCCCCCCACACCCCTATGGGCCCCTCTCTGTGGACCCCTCGTGTCTCTCTCACTCCGTCTCCCGAGCCCCCCAGCCTGGGCCCCCGCCCCCCGCAGTCACCGCGCCCACAAAGCCCCTCCCTGCGGGCAGGTCGCCTCTTCAGGGGACACCGCGTCCTTCCCCCTGAGCCCCCCCATGGACACTGTGCTCCCCGGGCAGGCAGACCCCTTATTAAATGGGGGTGGGCCCAGGAGGGGGGTGCAGACTCCCAGGCCGGGAGCCTTCCGAGCTCTTTGGGCGGAAAGCGCCGGGCGGGGGGAGGGGCGCAAAGGGCGGGAACCCCCAGACCCAGACTCTCAGCCCCGCGGGGAGCACCGGCGGCCCCGGGAACGGTTTTCAGCGGGAAAACCGCGCGGCAGGCGGTGGCCACAGCCACAGGCGGAGAGACCCCGGGCCGGGGCCTCCGTTTCCTCCCAAAGGAACGTGGCGCCCGCACCGCGCAGCCTCCCGGGGCGCGGACTCACCGCTGAGAGAGGCTCCGGGGCGGGGACCCCAACAAGGACTTCAGCGCCGGCAGCGCCCTCAGCCTTCCCTGCGGGGAGGGGGACGGGGAGCGTCAGCTTTAAAGACAAACACCCTCCTCAGCGGGAACCGCCACCTTAACCTCCACAGCCGCTTCCGTCTGCAAGGAACTGCGCATGCGCCTCCCTGCGGGGTGGGCGGGGCCAGAGCCTGAGCTGAGCGGCTCCGCTGCAGGGAGGGGCGTGGGGAATGGTGTTTGGGGGTGGAGCCAGCCACGTGGCCCCGCCTGTCCAGGGACAGAGGGAGGGAGGGGCCGGCGCTAGGGGCAGCCTAGACTTTGTTTGCCCAGCTGGGGCCTGAGAGCCCACACCCCCAGAGGCAACATAGGAAGTGGCCTCCCCTAACCAGCCTTGGGCAAACTAGGGCCCGCGGGCCCAATCCGGCCCGTTTGAAATGAATAAAACTAAAAAAAAAAAAAGACTGCACCCTTTTATGTAATGATGTTTACTTTGAATTTATATTAGTTCACACAAACACTCCATCCATGCTTTTGTTCCAGCCCTCTGGTCCAGTTTAAGAACCCATTGTGGCCCTGGAGTCAAAAAGTTTGCCCACTAACCCACTGTTGAAATATCCTCCCTGAAAAAAAAAAAAAAAAGAAAAATCCTCCCTGGACTCCCTTGACCAAATCCTGCCTTCCCTCCTCTTGACCGACACCTGCACTGCACCCTGTCCCTAGCATTGGTTCTCAACCTCTGGGTCGCGACCCCTTTGGAGGTCGAAAGACACTTTCACGGGGGTCGCCTAAGACCATTGGAAAACACACATATAATTACATATTGTTTTTGTAATTAATCACTACGCTGACTTTGAAAGGCTGACATGCAGGCCTTCAATGAGCTTGTTAAGGTAGCATGTGTCCCCTTTTCATGCACACATTCCCTTTGAGACATAAATCAACCCAAAGGAAGTATGGAGGAGCCAACTTTTTGTAGGATAATGAGGTGCCCTGGTACTGGAAGGGCTCAGGCTGAGTGTTTTTCTTCATAAATAATGGACCATTGGGGTTGGAGAAAGAAAAGTAACCTTGGATGACAGTTAAGGCCAGTTGTTTTTCTTTCGAAAGAGAAAGTAACGTAAATGGAAGGCAGTCAAGTTTCATGGACCTCTATTAAGTATAACAAGCAATTTCAGAGAGGAAAGGAGAGGCAAACAGTGCAACGTGAATGATGACCTAGAATCCTGGGTCAGCTGTCTCCTGCATGCCCCTCCCTGCGGAGGAGACTGCAACCCTGGCATGCGCACCAACCTGGAATGGAACCCTGACCTCCCAGTTCCTAGGACTATGCTCAATAACTGAGCCACACTGGCCCAGCACAATCTATTAGTTTTAATTTATAAGTTATTATGCTTCACATTTTATTATATATTGTGTTTAGCATTATATTTTGTTATACTTCAGTGGTTCTCAACCTTCCTAATGCCACGACCCTTTAATACAGTTCCTCATTTGTGGTGACCCCCAACCATAAAATTATTTTTGTTGCTACTTCATAACTGTAATTTTGCTACTGTTATGAATCATAATGTCAATATATGATATAAAGGATGTATTTTCATTGTTACAAATTGAACATAATTAAAGCATAGTGATTAATCATAAAAACAATATGTAATTCTATATGTGCTTTCCGATGGTCTTAGGCGACCCCTGTGAAAGGGTCATTCAACCCCAAAAGGGGTCCCGACCCACAGGTTGAGAACCACTGTTATAGTTTAAGGGCAAAAATACACCTTCAGTAATATTAATAGCTGTGATACAAATAAGTAGGCTTGAAAGAAGCCTATTATTATTAATTACTACTACTACTAGCAGTAACATTCATTTGAAAGGCCACACATGTGTCTTCCGAT